GCTGGAGGGGGCACAGCAGCGGGTGCTGAGGGGACAGGAGGGTGGTGGTGGTTACACCCCTGCTTGGGTGACCCCCTGTGCGCTGGGGTCCCAATGGGTGACCCCTCAGAACCTGGTGTGGCCCCCCTATAGGGACCCAAATGTTCTGATTTGAGGGGGCACAGCAGCGGGTGCTGAGGGGACAGGAGGGTGGTGGTGGTTACACCCCTGTTTGGGTGACCCCCTGTGTGCTGGGGTCCCAATGGGTGACACCTCAGAACCTGGTGTGGCACCCCTATAGGGACCTAAATGTTCTGATTTGAGTCCCTTCAGTGCCACAAGGATTCAGGCACCCTGGTATGGGCTCCCCACAGGGACCAAAATGTTCTGGTTTGAGTCCCTTCAGTGCCACAAGGATCCAGGCATCCTGGCATGGGCTCCCCATAACCCCAAAGGGACCCCAATGTTCTGATTTGAGTCCTGTCCATCCACAAGGTTTCAGGCATCCTGGTATGGGTCCCCCACAGCCCCATAGGGACCCAAATGTTCTGATTTGAGTCCCTTCAGTGCCACAAAGATTTAGGCATTCTGGTATGGGCTCCCCATAACCCCAAAGGGACCCAAATGTTCTGATTTGAGTCCCTTTAATGCCACAAGGATCCAGGCATCCTGGTATGAGCTCCCCATAACCCCACAGGGATAAAATATTCTGATTTGAGTCCCCACCATGCCATAAGGATTGAGGCATCCTGGTGTGGGCTCCCCATAACCCCAAAGGGACCCAAATGTTCTGATTTGAGGGGCACAGCAGCGGGTGCTGAGGGGACAGGAGGGTGGTGGTGGTTACACCCCTGCTTGGGTGACACCCTGTGTGCTGGGGTCCCAATGGGTGACCCCTCAGAACCTGGTGTGGCACCCCTATAGGGACCTAAATGTTCTGATTTGAGTCCCTTTAATGCCACAAGGATCCAGGCATTCTGGTATGGGGCCCCCACAGCCCCACAGGGACCCAAATGTTCTGATTTGAGTCCCTTCAGTGCCACAAGGATCCAGGCA